GGGGGGGGGGGGGGGGGGGGGGGGGGGGGGGGGGGGGGGGGGGGGGGGGGGGTAGCGTTCGTCGCCGTTCTGTTCAACGGACTTTGTGCATTTGACCGGGCCACAAAGTAAAGTAGCACTTCTATCAGCGGGGGGGGTTGGAGCCGTGGGCAACAAATCCGCTGTACCATACATGCACTGGTGTACACGCTCTTACCTCACATATACCTAGCAGCACTCGGGTAGCAAAAATAATCACGCCAAGATCCAAAGGAAGCACGGTCAATAACGTGACCCTTATTCGCCCCTGCGCCCATGCAAACCAAACCAAAAACACTGAAAGACGAACGAGCTACTGCTGTATTGTGGCGGGCGTCACGCCGTACCTCGAGGTCCATCTCGCGCCCCTGGCCTTCCAGCAACCCCTGAAGGCTGGTCTTGAGCCGGCCCATGCAGTCGTGGTCTCCGTCACGATCCCAATCCCAGACTTCGAGCTGCAGCGGCCGCAAGTAGTCGCCGTTGCACAGAGCCTGACGGACCATCGCCAATGTCGTCGTCGTTGATTGATTGTTGTTGTTGTCGAATTCAAGTGAAGGACGTCGGGGGCAATATCAAAATAGCTGTAACATCATGTCGGGGCAGAGGGGGAATCAACGTTCCACAAAACAGTGCACCATACCATGGCATACCTGTAGTCGCATGCAAAAAAGGTCGACAGCTACCATCACTGCTGCACGACGGTGAACATGACTAGCTCTGTGTGTGCCAGCGGTCTCCGTGGTACATGGGGTCACGTGCTAAAGACCAAAGGCACGGAACGGGCTTGGAGCCACTGTCGGCCTCGTTGTCTGACACGTCCACCCGCGGCCATCTTCCGTGCCTACCTCGCTGCGTGCGATCCTCCACAACTTCGGACGACCGAGTGTTGAGAAATCGTCATCCATCCCGTCCCGCCCAAACCCACCCCATCCCATCACATCTCGACCAACCCCACCCCATCCCATCCCATTCTGTCCCGTCCAACCCCACCCCATTCCATCTGATTCTATCCGGCTTCGAGAGAGCAATGGAGCACAAAGCTTCGCTCGTCACATCCAACCAAAACCACAACCGCCTCTCGCCATCACAACGACGGCGACGATCCGAAGCCTCCTCTCTCCGCACCGAGCTCTCGCGGAAGTCGCTCTTGACATTGGCATCGTTTCCATGCCCAGACCAACTCCCACACCACAGCACCGCCTCCTGCACCACCCGCACCGTTCACCCAGACCCCAAGGGATCTTGTCCAGACTCCAAGCGACGAACGTTTTCTTTTGTCGTCGACAAAAGCATTGTCCAACCAGCCGGAACACACACACACACATACGCATGATCGGCACCGCCAACACAGCGCTCTGGCCTGCGCTGTCTGGATAAGGCTCTTACGGCTTACAGCGAGGCGCCTCCCCGACAACCGTCGCGACTCTGTCACTCACTCTCACTCACCTGGACCGACATGTCTTGGGGCTGCCAAGCGGGGCTGAGGTCGTTCATGATGACCTCGCTCTTGTGGACCTGAGACAAGAGCGAAACGTAAAATGTATGACGGGAGCAAAACCCCAGCGACAAAAGCACGACATCGAATGGTGTGCTTACGGGGGGCGGTGGAGAAACCTCGACGGTGGCATGGACTGGACGGAACCACAGGAGGAAGGAAATCGGCGAAAAGTGATAGAGTGGTGTCGGGGAATAAACACAGCTCGACACAGGCCGCCCATCAGATCACCAAGAGCAGTAAGTGAGGCAGCAGCTCCCGCCTCGAGCGATGTGCTTGTCCGGCAGGAAACAACTACACCCGGGTACGGCATTTTCGTGTTTCTCTCGTCTCTCTTGGAGGGGTGGGGAACAAAACATCGCGTTGCGCCCTCATCCTTTCGAGGTTCGAACACGTCAGCATCTCCACTGCGGCATCAAAGCTACCCGCGTTCTTCAGCGCCGGAGAGCACGACAGTTGTGGTCGTGCAGGACCAACGGAACCATCACCATCACCATCATCACCACTACTATTGGCAGAAACAACTGGGTGTCGACAGGAATGCGCTATGGTGAACACAAGAGCGCAAAGAGAAGTAGGGGACACGTGCAACTCTACCCCGCCTCCGACAACACCTCCCGGGAGAAAAAGACAAAATTAGCGTGGTTCGAAGAATCATTGCGGGTCTACCGCACAAAGGGCCTGAGCAGGCCAAAGCCAAAGCAGGTCTACCCCCTCTCCCCACGAAAGCACACAACGAAACAGTCACCTGCTGCCATTTTTCGTCCTCTCGAAGTCTCGAGACAGTGAAGAAAGGGTCGCTCTTCCCGAAAATGCCGTCCTTGTTCTTGAGCTTGATGCCGCGGAGGGAGAGCTTGCAGCGATCCGCACAGGACGCAACTTCCTCTGCTCGGATGATCATCACGCCTCTTTGGGGGTGGTGCACGGAAACCCATATAGGAAGCCCCGGCAAAGCGAAAAACAATACCGCCCGAGGGGAAAGTTGACGTTATGAGTTTCAACTGTGTGGGTTGATTCATGATTTGCAAGCGAGTGGGTTGCGAGGAGTCCTGCTGTTAGGTAGAAATAACGCGACAAAACACGCAAAATAGCGAATAGTTTGGGAGAGGCGACGATGGGTTGTAATTGTCGAAGTCATCCGGCGTTCCTACTACTGTTGCTTGGTCTTGATGCAAAGTTGGCGACACTGCCTCCCGGCAACAATGTTCGTCCTCTTGCCCGTCGACCGAGTGTCGATGCGAGTGTGTTGTGAATGACCAATTTTTGCTTGTCCTGTCTTTTTCGCGACCGCTTCCGAAGAGAAACGCCTGACATCTCAACAAACTCCAACGACACCAAGAAGCCCTGGCACGAGCCATCGTCCAGTTCTGACACTCGTTAAATGAACGCCAACCACAACTCTGGTGTTCCTGATGTTCAATGCCATCAACCACAACGCTTAACATCGCCCGGCTACCCCTAATTTCAACCTATCAAGTATCAACAATCACTTGCCCTGTTACATACAAAGCTGTTTCGGCCAACCGGCCGGCCTCGTCCTTGGAACTGACCGGCAAAGCTGAACGCCACAACACAAAAACATAACTAGAACAGATTCGTCTGTCCCATGCACACTAAACGTGTTGAACAGTCCTGACCAGCCCAAAAACACGTAGCAGGCCCAAAAACACGTAGAAGGTACCTTGCAAAAAAAGAAAAACGCTACACTTGTAACAATACGACGAACTTTCTCCCCTACCCGCCCTACTTACTTGGCCAATCGTCCTGACCTGTCCTTCAGGGCTTCGGTGATGCTCCTCCCCGGCGCCGACATGAGCGCGCCCAAGGTGAAGTCAGCCTTGCCGAGGCTGTCATCATCGGACACTTGATCACTGTCGTAGATCTTGACCTGATCTCCGAGCGTGTTGTATACGACATCGTTCGCCGTACGAGCAGCAACGGAAATAATAGTCAGGTACACCAGGCGACCTCTCGGCATCGTCGTAACGAGGGGATTTCGGGCGAAGCGGAGCTATGCAGTGACACCTGTGTATACGCCATAATTCTATCTAATGAACAGAGCGAAGTAGATATATGCGTTTTCGCAAGCCGATATGGATCGAAATAACGAACGTGTGAACGAAACAACAGAGGACGTAATAATCTGCCTGCATGACAGCACACAAACGCCGACAAAAGGCGTCATGTCTATGCGCCTCGCACAAAATCTATCGCACTTTTACGTTTCTAGCATTCAGATCATGTTCTCATGCTCTATCATCTACGTGCTCTTCAAGGGACTGAACCACGCTTGCCCTAGGCATGACTAGATCTCAACAACGTGAACCAGATCCTCCGGACACACACAACAAATCTGCGCACGCACGGAGTACTCTACTTAAGCATGCGTTGAAATCTCAGCTTGCCACTCTTGTCAAAATCACATGGGATCGCTTGCCTTGACGTACTGGATCTCGTTGAAGAAGAAATCCAAGATGAACTGCTTGGTGAACTTTGGGTCTGACGTGTTTCCGATCGTCTCCGTGCGACCGATCTCTCTGAGAACATGACGCCGAGGACGGCGGTGACGGTTACAACGTTACAACGGGATCGGCGGCTTGTTGGTGGATGTTGTCGACAGCAGTGGTGCAGTTCGTTGCTAATACCGGGGTTAGGCTTAGCTCATGGGCCTGTCCTTCGTGGACGATCTCGTCGCCGCCGTCAGCGACACTTGCTTGGTGATGGCCGCGACGGGATCGTTAACGCAGGACATACGTGCCATGAAAAGATACTCGTCTTCAGATAGTTATCTACCGGCCGGCACGAGGCGGGGGGGGGGGGGGNGGGGGGGGGGGGGGGGGGGGGGGGGGGGGGGGGGGAGACAGCGGGACTTGCGGTTCTTCCGATCCCTGGCAACATGACATGTTCCTCGGAAGAATCCTGGGAATGGACGTAGAGGAAAATGTGGTCATTTCTTCTTCCACACCCCAGCTGCTGTCGCTGTGCGGGGGATGCGGCGGTTTTGTGTTGCGCGTGCCGTTCGCGGAAAAATGACGAAAGAGACGGAAACACACAACACAAACCAAATCTTCTCTATCCAAGTATGCAGTATCATACGTCCATGTATTTACAGCAGCGGGTGAACTTGACAACATTAGTCGGAAGAAGTGGTCTGTAGACAAATGAAGAAACGGGCTTGCCGAGAATTTTCCACGCGACTCAAAAGCAAGCAGGCATTGACACATGGATGTATTGACATATTGGCCAAAATTCTCTCCGCCGCGCGCGCGCCTTTTGGAAGTGGCCTGCAGCATACAATGCGTGTGTCTGTCGACTGATGTGACCATTTGGTACTGCTGCTGTAGTGTTGTGAACGTCTTGAGGATTGGGCGACAGAGAAACCCATGACTTGACGACGCGATTTCCGAGACGCGGAGATGCGGAGATGATGCGGAGTACACACCGGGAGTAAATGGCTCACAGCAGCAGTCATGGTTCAAGCGCCCACCAGAAATTTCTAAAGGAGTTCATTACGTGTCTCTCCATCGATCTGTTGCATCTGCTGTAGACGGGCCGCGACGGCGCTAATGGCGACCAGAGACGTGGGGATTCAAGTTAAGGACAAGGGCGGGCCCGCTTATTCCCGCGCCACCCCTGCCCAAAGCGGAGGAACTTATTTTGTCGCGCTGCCTCGGATTGTCGATGTCATGATGTCATATGGTTGTTACACTTCTTGTCCAGCACAACAGAAGCGGGCCAGAACAGAATTAAATAAAAATCCACGCCGGAAAACCAACCATCGTTTTGGTTGTTGCTTTTTGCGGGTGAGGCAACGTGATGATGTTGTGCTACGTACACTGCCTGTACATCCGCCCTGCTCCGCTCCATGTGCTCACATGAGTGTGCTACCTTTGCCTGTTACGTGGTCGTGCTCTCCCTGCCCACCATGGAAACGAACGTCTTCCTAACTCTTTCTGTAGTCTAATGTACATCCAAACGAGAGATTGCACGCTGCTGTGAAGCGAGGTCACTCACGTGTAGTTGACTTTGCCATCCTTATTAGTATGCCCGAGCTTGACGACGGCAAACGGGTCCGACTTGCTCAGAACGTCGGCTTTCTTGAGACCCTGTGTGGACAGCAAATTGAAGCATTACAGTCCAAAACGAGAAACAAGTGATGACCGCTTGTACACATGGCGAACGTACGCCAAACACCCACCATGGTGTGCGCGCGTGAATAGACCGTATTCAATCGCGTGGCGTATGTCCTCTACTATTATTAATACGTGAGAGCACCCGGGTCTTGTTGGACAGAGATGCCAGAGAGTTCGCCCGCCTGCTCCCTGTCTCAGGACCGACCGGGTTCCGATCAGTAGCACGTGCATGCATACACGATTCAACCAACCATTGTCGTCGCAAACCGTCGTGCTGCTGCAGACGAAGAAGTGACAAGTGACACAAGACCACCCGTAATAACCACGCCGCAAACGAGTTTGTGGGTGGGCTTCCTTCTATGCATACAAGTAGAGGTATACAAACCATCGCAATGGGTGTCAGAATTTAAGCGTATATTTCATCCAGTTGCGAATTAGACATTCAAGGGTCGGGCATGTGTAGGAGAAAACATATCCAGTTCCGGACGCGCCCCGTTCACGCAGACGGTAATAAATTCCCTGTCTGTGAAGATGCCGACAGACAAGCCCGCCGTTCGAAGCCCTTGAGTACTCCACACGCGACACCACAGCAATACCTCTCCAAAGCAAACGCACGACAGACAAGCGGAGGCACTTCGATGCACGGACAACAACGCAATTTCTTTCATACGTACCAAGTCTAGGCGGACTACCTCATGGTCAGTCAGTGCGTCTTCTATCTCCATTACAAGTAGTCTATGCATGATGTATACCTTGCAAGACACGTAGAACTCGATTTTCGACGCAGACATCGTTTGCCTCCCGTGCTTCGAGGCGATAGGTGGCGAGTGAAGAAGCGCACCCCACCGAATACGTCCTGTACGATCATACAGACCTTTCCGTATCCCTGTGCACAGCAGCAGCGCTGGTTCCAAGACCAGACTTCAACCCAAAAACCTGTTGCCGGAAAGATCCCGCGGCCCACCCCCAGCAGCTGAGACGCAGCTGAGAGGCCCCTCAGACTTGGCTGCTCTCAGCACATCATGTGTATCGCGCTCAGTGACCTGCTCGGCGACCGCCCTCTGCAGGCCCCCTCAGTCTTCGCTGCTGTTCGCTGGGCGTCCATGGGCAGCCGCACACCCCTTTCATCTGTATGACACGCGCACCGCATGCTGCACACGCTTGGTGACAAGGCCGCACCAACGGGAAGGAAAGGCCGGACGCTTTGTTGTCGCTTTGCTGATACATGATGTATCAACCTCCGATAGTGAACTTCCCGGTCTTCTCGGTGGTATGGTCAGAGGCAACGGATGCTAATGGCGCCGCTTCTCCAGCGGTGCTCGCGGCGGGCGGCGGGGGTGCTGGTAACACGGGAGTCGGGAACAAGATTGTGAGTGCTCTTCCTTGCCCATTGGGTGTAGCAGCGTTCATTGCGTGGTGTGCTAGGAGAACAGGAAGGAGTTTAGTGTGCACATTTCGGGTGTCGTTCACAAGCCGTTTGTTCTGCCTAGGGTACTTGCACACACCTGTGACGTGCTCGGAACATTGTTGCCGTTTTGGTGTGCAACACAGCGCAGTAGCTGGTTGCTCGGCCCCAGCCAGTTCTGATTTCTTCGAAGGTGGAGCAATAGCCGTACCCTTGGCTTTGTTTGAGCGGTGGTGTGGGTTGTCCTCGGCCCTGAAATAGCTGTTCTTGTTATGCATAAGATAAGCACACATGCCTGGTCGGCGGGAACCCGGCACGGAACCCTCCGGCGTGTAGGCGGGTGTGGGAAGCGTTCCCCGTTCTCCTTTTATTTTATTTTGATCGGTCTCCTCGACGCTCTTTCTCGTTTGGTGCGGTAGCTGGTCTTTCTTTCTATCATTTTGTTTCTCTTCCGAGTGGTTTTTGTACCCTATTTTTTTCTGTTTCTTCGTGGGGTCGTGTATGCCGGGTTTTGAGACCACGGGCTCCCAATCTTTCTTTTTTAGAGCTAATGTGAGAAACAACAGCAACAACAAACACGGAGCAAGTGACCACCTGCGGAGACACGCATCCCAATCCTTGTAGGATCAACGATGCTGGTAGACTGATGGTGTGAGGCTTTTACATATTCCCATTCCGTGTTCCGTATGAGAGATGTGCACACGGGCACACCAGGTATCTAGCAACAAGCTGCTGCCTGTCGGTGCAGGCTTCGCGTGCTTGTCCGTAATTTCACCGTCTCCCCTGGGTTGGCTCTCACTGCTGTAGGTTGTATGCAATGCATTCACTTACTCCGTAACCCACCTTCACAAGCCAAGTCGATTGCGTCACCCGCCAATGCAACCGAAGACAAACATCTAATACATCAATTTGAAAGAAGAAACATCAATGTACAGGCAACAAGAAGGGCAGTTGATAACAGCAGTGCTCGCTACATTAACAACCATCCTTGTTGTCGTTCCTTTGAACTGAACGGCTGTCTGTTACGCGGTAGTCCTCGATTGCCTTCAAGGGGGGCGCCCAGCAACCCTCCCATACCATCGCGCACGAGCTGGAGACGTCGCCCGAGACGTGCAACTGCGTCGCGGCTAGCGGTAACGGTCAGCTCCTGGCCGCTGCGTTCGGAAAGAACGTTCGCATCTATGCCAGCAACCCCTCAGGCTTCCACCAGCTGGCGGAAGTCGAGGTAAGTGAGACACAGCAGCAGTCGGGCATCCCACCACAATAATGCGAATTTGTTGCTGCATCTGGGGTTGTGCTGTAGACCGTGTTGGGTCAGCGTAGGCAGTGCCTGATGGAGCATCAGAGAGCAAGCATCTGAGTTAACTAATCAAAACCTGCTGAGTAAACTCGTTGGAACGCCCAAGTGCTCCGAAGGCGCTCGCCGCCACAACAGCAGTGTGAGCTAGGGTCTGTTGTCGGGGGGTAAGACGTTTTTTTTTTTTCTCCCATCATTGGACTCTGTCGTCTGCCCCTCTGGCCCCTATCCTCCACTTCTACCAGCTAGACGACCCGACCGGGGTCACATGGGAGGGGAGTGTTGGACCCCATCCTGCGGTTCCTGCCTGAGATGGTTTTATCGCGAGAAGGGTACAGCAATCCCTTCCCTCGCGATTCATGAAGTCGATCAAGTGTACTAACAACGAGCTTTGCAGCGCGTCGCTTCCAACAAAGACAAGGATTTAATTAGCGAGAAAAAGCTCACTCTGTCGGGACTCGAACCCATGACCTGGCCCTTAGCAGGCTACGAGGCTACCCACTAGACCACCGGGGCGACCGGTGTAGTACGGTGTACACGTGGCACCCTGGCATCCGCGTGATGTGCTTTTGCACGTGCGCGTTGTTTGTGTACCCACGCCGCACGGGCTAGTTCCCCCGTTGTTTGCGCGACATGCGGGCTCGCGAATGACTAGCCCAGAACACACCGTATGGCGGCGTTTTTGAGGCTGCTCAGAGTTGATTTACATCAAGAAGAGTTGTGGGGATGCATACGCCGTGCCGAAACGGTTTGGATAGGATTCGCCTCGTGAAAAACCGTTTGCGCTCGTCTTTCAGGGACAATAATTCTCAACGATGTAAACATTGCTACACCGCTCCGCCACGGCGTCGACAGGCCGATTTTGCGACAAAGGAGAGCGGTGTGCTTTCCATGGCGTTCCTGGACAGAAATAACGGCGGCAGCGACGGTAGCCGAGAAACGGACGGAGGCGTTATGCTCATGGCTACCGGGGGGGAAGACGGGGTCTTGAGGGTCTGGGAGCTTCATGCCGACGCGCGAAGTGAGTGCGGCAGCAGGTGTTTGACTCTATGCCGTGTATGTGCTATGCATACAGTCACCCGTTTCTTTTTTTTTCAACATCAAGCTGAAAGAGTCCCGTATGTTTCGCCGGTCCTCTCTGATGCTATTGAGCTGTCGACAGCGCATACACCTCCGTCAAATTCCGAGACACAAAGCATCGGTATGGTCCCCCTACAGTACTGATGTATATTGTTGGCGAAAAACCATAAGCATACCACCATTGTGCAAATCGCGAACAACGTATCGTCTGGCAGAACTCTGATCAGAGAACAAATAAATGTGGACGCTTACAGTGTTTCGTTCGCAGCAGCTTGAGCCCCCCCTCCACGACTTGGCTGGCGGCGGCTTCTTACTAGCGGTCGTGAAGCTCGAAATCCAGCTGTCCAAAGGTTCATTTTTGGGGGCACAGCAGTCCATATTTGCACGTGTGTGCACCCCGAACTGGAGCTTGAGGTGTTCCGTTGCGCATCGCCAGCGCCCCTCACAAGCAACCACAGCCCTCGAAGTCGGGGCACGCTCCTTGCCGAGGGGAAGCGGCAGGCTGCAGTTATGGACGTCAGAAACGACTTGCAAATGCATTGCTGGTGGTTCGGAGCATGCTGCAAGTTTGCATGTCAGCAGCGCGACCAAAGAAAGCGACCCGGAGATCTAGCTCTTCATGCGTGACGCCACGGAGTACTCCCAAATCGACGTGTTCGGCCCGACCGAGGGTAGCTGGTAGAGCCGCGAAGAATGAATCGTGGGCCCATGTGTATGCACCCGGTACAGCCCTACCATATTGTACGACCCAAAACGACCCCGGAAAGGGTTGCATGCAGGGGGCTCCGTCGTTGCTCCCGTGAGCCTAGCCGAAATCATCAACTTCCAGCAAGTGCTTTGATCTGGTTTGGAAAAAACATGAGTTTTGGGTGGAATACTCCCAAGTATATTTTTCGGGAAGACTACAGGGCGGCCTTGACATCTCTCTCCCACAGGCCAATTACTCTTCGTGATTGCAGAAAAGCCCCCCCGTGACAGAACAGCAGTGAACGACGTATAGAATGTTGCTTGTCGTATTGGTTCTGGAAAGTGTGGACCCACCCATCCGGACACGTTCATGTTTACCCTAACCCCATGGTAACTAGGAGGGGGCCCAACTCGACATGATATATTGGTGTGCCTTGCGACTGAGCTAAATAGCTCATGTTGTTCTGGGTGTTTGGAATGGTGGAACCACGAGACACAACGGTGCTCTCCTCACACTCACCCTTCTCGCTCCTGGTCTTTTCTCATACACGTTTTTGCCCTTTCAACAGCAGGTGGCGGCGATGGGAGAGAGGGCGAAAGACCACCGTCGCTTTCGGTACGTATGGTGCATGCATGCAAAGGGCACGAAAAGCCGGTGACGTGCGTGAGATTCCACCCGTCAGGGGCGTTGATGCTCACCGCCTCGAAAGACGGCACCTGCAGGTGCGCTGCTCGAATACGCGTGTCAGGCTTCCGTGCCACCGTTTTTGTGTTTTCGATGCGCACTTGTGTATACATCCCCCCGAAAAGTTCATGTAAGCGTTACAAAACGGGTTGCACGTTGTAGCTGATGGTTAATTCTATTCGCTTGGGATCTGTTTGGTGTGTTCGGTTCATGCGTACCTTGGTCACTGTCCATGCGATCCAGGTACGCAGAGGACAACATAGGCGTGCAGGCGCACACGCGCAGCCGCCCATAGATTCGCAGTGTTTCATTGACGAAGGGAGCCGTTTTCCGTGTCCTCTCAACTCCACGATGGTCTCTCCCCAACGTCGACTCTGTCCCATTGCCACCTTAACCCCAACTCGTTGTCGTTACAACCCCCTGTTTGGCAAAGGTTGTGGGACTGCGAGCGAGGCTCCGAAGCGGCTTTGTTGCCCACCACGTCCGGCCTGCCTCCGACCGCATCAATCGCGAAGGCCCCGGTGATCATGTGCCGCTCCTGCTGCTTCTCTCCCGATAGGCCAGACGCGATATTCTCTGTGCAGAGCGAGGGGCGTGGCAACGCCTACGTCACTGAGTGGAGGTACTCGGTGCGGCCGGACGACGACGCCCCCGGGGGAAGGGGGGTCGCTTGTGAGGTCAAGCCGGTTAAGGTGTCGCTCGTGTCGCCGCACCCGGCGACTTCGCTGTCCGTCCGGAGCGACGGCGCTCGCCTAGCGGTGGGGAACGTGGAGGGGACGGTGCTCGTCTACCGGCTACCCGGGTTTGCGAAGGTGATGCACACCTGGTGTGATTTGATGTTGGCCAGAGAGAGAGGAGCGCGTATTACTCGGACTGTGCAGTGCAGGCATGAGGTAGGGTTGGCTAGGTAGGTGCGTCCGCGGAGAAGCACTACACAGCAATAAACCGCGTAGTGCCACCACAGACGTACACCCGCGGTTCAAGTTACCATACAACCTACCAGGGGCACACATGAACTCCAAGCGTTTGGGTGTAAGTTGCCTCGAGAGCGTGCCGTCCTCCAGCCACCTCGGGCGCTCCGTGTAGTCGGTACACCTCCTCTATACTCCAAACCGTAATTTCACAAATAGGCCGTGTGGCACATCCGTTCCTCCGTCCTAACTCTTAACAACAATTTATGCCACCTATGACACAAGGTCATGGAGTATCCTGCCCACGACCTGCCAGTGACGGGCCTGGGGTTTGCCACGAGGGAGGTGGGGGCAGCGCTTGGGGGATACGACTTGCTTGCCGGCTCGGCAGACTACAAGATAAGCCTTTTCAAGTCTCAGGGTGAGGGTACAGGTTGTCGTGTACTCCGCTGCTGTTGCTACGAAGTGGGGTTGTGCAGTACCTAGTCGCCATGTAGACGATGTCGAAGATTAGGTCGTGGGTATTTAATGTCTTTTAGAGTGTTTCGTGAAGGTGATTTTTTTAGTCGAACGTTGTTGTCACCTGTAAGCACTACTTGTTGCTGTACGTGCCTGCCAAGTGACAAATCCCGTTCTTGGCTGCAACCTTCCGTGCTTCACCATGGCCATTTTTCTACGAAGTGTGTTGCACTTTTGTCCTCTCTTCACCATGATCGTCGCCTGCTCTAAACCGACCTTCCCTTCGGTGTCCGCGATGTCTCTGCTCGCTACGGACTCGACTTTCGTTTCCTCGACAAATATCATTTGTTCCTCAATTGGTCGACGGACGATCGCATTCCTCAGGGAGTGCCACCAAGCTAGCGCTTCGGCAAATGATGGTGAGTGCGACTGGCCACCCTCGGTCCGTACAGACGTGTTCACATCAGTGGGAAATTAAAACGTTGATGTTTCGAAAGCTTTTGTAACTTTTCCCGGAAAAATACTGTTTTCAGCCCCGTCGCCATGGCCCTTGCAGAGGTGGTGGACGAGCACAATGACAAAGAAGCTCTCACATATAGTCATATAATTCATCAGATAGCACTTTTCATGTAGTTGCTTTGCTTTCATCTGAAGAAATTCTGCGTGATGAAATGTCGGCAATCCGTTGAAAAAATGCCCTCGCGATGTTACCAAACGACGAACTCGCGCTTTCGGTGTGGGCCAAGGAAGGAAGGTGGCCAGCCACCCAGTGGTTGGCGACAGGCGTTTGGATTGTATTGCAGATGGGCATATAGACGTATCGGGTTGCGTAATTCTGGATCGCCATCTCGAGGATGGTAATCGACATAAACGCTGAACAGCAGTAAAAGGTTCTTCAGCGGAAGAATCAGCGAGAGCAGCTCACCCCATGAAGTTACCTCCGATTTCGTGTCGAACAAGCCGACAGGTCGAATTCGAGCTCGTTGGTGTGGCTCGAAGGATGCACCGACAGTTCTGCCGCTTTTGCATGTTGCGGCTGACACAATGGCCTTTTTTATCGAGCATGCGTAGTTTTGATCGCCACTACAGCCAGAGCTCTTGCGAAGCTATGCATACGGTCATAAAGGGATGTGATTCCAAGATTTTTGTTGAGGAAATTTCTTTTTATTTTGCGATTTTTCAAAGACTGGAAAACGGGGCGGCAGCGATAGGACCCTGATTTGCGTTGCAAATCTTCTTCAGCATGGCATACTTCACACCCGTGTCGGGGCTGAACATTAAAAAATATGTCCTCGACAAAGACACGCCACTGCTCTCGTGACTGAACTGCTTGTTTGGGTGTGTAGCCGGCTCTCAAATTCCGGTCACAGCCAGAGACACTAGTTTCTACTGGCGCGCGCTCCTTTTAAGCTAGAAACTAGATCGTCAATTGACTTGAATTCCACCTTGGGAATGCCCCCATCCCTTTCCAAGTAGGCCGAGGGATCTGCGTTCACCCATCACTGCTGTTCATGGTTACAGTATGACCGCAAACATATCCCTCGCCGCGCTTGCTTGCTTCCCCCGTTCTCGGCCGCCGACCGCATGTATGAACACCTCACCAGGTATTACTGTGGTCGTTAGTTGTCTTCGTATTTAAGGCGATATCCTGGTTGGTACGGACCGCGCTGACCCTAACGCTGACGGTCATCCCGATGATGGGCTTGGTGGCGCTTGTGCTGGCGGTGGTATACCGGCCGGAGGAGCTTGCGGCCGCAGTTCGGGTGCTGATAGCGCAGGAGGAGAACTTGGGATTGGAGGCGGATCCGGACTCAGAGCCGCCGGTTCTATAGCCTTTTGGTTTGATGTTGTTTCTTGCGTCCGGAGACTGGTGACTTTTGGGCGCGAGCGGGGCGCAGCACCTCTTCCTGCTGCATGTGCAACCTGTGCTTGCACGATCGAAACACGTGGTGTATGCTTTTTATGTGGGCGAATCGCCTGTCTCTGCCGTCGATCGAATGTCGTCGGAAATCCGAAACTAGTGAGGCTGCCTCTTGCTTGGAGAGGGAGAGGGGTGAAGTAACGTAGTGACTACCGGGTGCGTTTGTCTTGCCTCGCGTGAGCGCTTGCTTCGACACCCCCACTGCACGACAAGGGGCAGGCGGAAAGTGGGTTAAACTAACCCGTGTAAAGCCGGGTCTGCAGCAGCAAGAGTCTGACTTTCGCCCTTTACCCCCACACATTCATCCCTGATGTGATTGCCACGTAAGGCACGATTCCGGCATTCATTGCCCTCGTAAAGGCTGAAGCACTCACCACCCTACCTACACTGGGAAATTTGTAGATTGAGGTGGGCGTGAAACGAGATTTCTTTTCTGTGTGCCCTTTTTGGCATACCTGCTCTGACAAGCAAGGTACAGCAGCAGGAGCTAATTCCAATCTGAGGCCGATCGCGGGAGCATGTGCTCATTCCCACGGCTACGGGTTACAACATGGTTCTCCGATCTGCGTCTGATTCAGCTGTCGCTCTCTCTAGCCCTTTAATGATTTTCTTCGTTCCTCAATCGGTGAAACAAGCTACGCATATCCCACTTGGCCCTTCCGCGTGTACCAGGCATCGATTGTCATGCACCTTGCCTCGCTGTTTGAGCCGGTTGCACACACTTCTACCGCCTCCATAGGCACACGGCGACGTGGCACCTACTTCTGCTCAAACCTCGATCAAAATGTTTGCTGCGAGAACACCATGTGAGCAACCCAAGCGTACCCTCTCACAACGGTATTCGTGGGCGCAAAACGGCGACCGCAGTCAGTCATGATATACGAGCACACGGTCGACAGGTGGAACGCGGACGGACAAAATCACGGCGGAAGGTCGTTCGTTCGCCTTGCGTTCGCCAAGAGTCGCCGTACGGGCTGATGCAGCATCCTGACCCACAAGCAGCCCGATTTGTGCGTGGTGGCCGCCCCTAGTAGACCCACAGTTGTTTGTTTCACCGTGTGTCCATTGGTAGTCTGAAGTGTTGGGATTTGTATGCAAGAACTGACTCTATTCTACTGCATGGGTTTTGTGCAGTATTGTGAAGGCGTGTCTCCAAGTCTGTAACCGTCAGGTGAAGACAGCTTGGGCGCCTGTGTTTTGGATCTAATGATCACTCTGTGTTGTATCTACCCAAACTGCGCCACCACTGCCAACTACACAACAAACAGCAACTACAATTCTGTTGTCAGGTCATGAGCCTAGCGTTTGGTAGGTAATTCACATCGAGTCACACCCCAGCAGCAGCATGGCGTCCGCCACGAACTACCTGAAACAAGGATACGTCCCGTTTAGCGGGAAGCCGGAAGATTTCCACGGCTGGAGTGGCCTGTTCTACTCCATCATGGATGAGCAAGGATTAGGCGACATCATGGCTGGGACGGAGACCGCCCCGGCATCGGCGGCCAGCAGCGCGGATTCGGATCGTGCTGCGTTCGACAGGACGACGCTGGAATTCAAACGTAAGAACGGCAAACTGTACACACGGTTAAACTTTGCTACGTCCGACTGCGCCGATGGATTCTCGAGCACTGCTTCCCAAGTCGTTCGAGCCTTCGGCCCCGCTCGCGTTGGTGAGCATGGGGACGGACGTGCGGCATACGTTGCCCTAGAAGCGAAGTACCGCCAGAAGGGCACCTATCGGATGCATGAACTGCAGCGAGAGTTAGGATCACTTGCGGTCACTGCCGAGGACGATTACGACCCGGCGCGTGCAATCCAAGACTTGCGTCGTATCAGTTCCGAACTCGAGTCACTTGGAGACAAGGTCGTACCAGCCCGCCAGACGCATATCTTGTTGAACGCGCTTCCTGACCAGCACTACGCCCAACTTAAGGCCGCGCTGGTGTGCGGACAAGCCGATGGCTCGGAGTTGGATCTTGACTTCGAAAATGTCGCGCACCGAGCGACCGCGTACCATACACTGCAGATCAGGGGGAAGGTTTCTGCCCACGGCCGTGCCCACAACACGGTCGTGCACGGGGGTGCACGTAGTTTCCGTAAGCAAGGCGGACGTGGCGGACGCGGCGGACGCAACCGCCAAGGCAATGGCAGCCAACCGACCGGAGACAACGGCAGCAGCGGCTCCTCCGCCGGAAATTCCAGAGGCGATAGCCCTGGAGGCGCGCAAGATGTGCGCGGGCGAGGCCGCGGCAACAAGTCCAATAAAGGCGGAAACAAAAGTCACCAAAAGGGCCGAGACCGTCAGGGACGCTGCAAGTACTGCCACAACTCTACAGAGCACGGATGGGACGGCTGCCCCCTTCGCCTGGAGAACGTGCGAGAGGATAACGCCCAACAGGCGAATGCCGCCGCGCCGGAACCGTCCACGCAGGCATGGTTCACCCGAGTCGAGGAATCCAGCGGTGAGCCGGAGGACTTTTCCATCTCGTTTGGAGAACCGCAGGCACTGGAGATGCCTGCCGCGGCGCTGCCGGAGAAGCGCGCCGCCGTGGGCGTGCAGGAAGGTCTTGTCATCTACGATCCGCAGGCACTGGAAATGCCTGCCGCGGCGCTGCCGGAGGAGCGCGCTGCTGCTGAGGAGGAGGTGCCGGAGGCGCCTGTTGCGGCGCTGCCAGAGGAGTGCGCTGCTGATGATGCGCAGGTGCTGGATGCGCCTGCTGTGGCGCTGCCCGATGAGCGCGCTGCTGCTGAGAAGCAGGTGGCGGAGGCGCCTGCCGCGGCGCTGCCAGAGGAGCGCGCTGCCGACGATGAGCAAGTGCTGGATACCCCTGCTGTGCCGCTGCCCGAGGAGCGTGCTGCTGATGCTGCTAGTGACGTTCAGGTGCAGAACCCGCTTGCTGATGCAACAGATATAGTTGCCTACACCAGTGTGTACCAGGTTAAGGACGAGTCCGCCAGGAGCACCATTATGTTCGTAGACACAGCAGCGTCTAGCCACATGGTTAGCGCGGATTCCTACGCATCTCGCCACGTGACCGAGAAGTCGGACTGCAACGTGAGGATCAAAGGTTCGTGTGGAACGTCGAGCGCGGCTCAGAAAGGTATCCTGCGTTTCGGCATCTCAAACGACCGGAACCAACTCGTCCCGGTGGAGCTACAAGTACTACTGGTTGACAACCTAGGAGCGAACATCCTCTCGGTCGGAGCCCTGAAGGAAAGGGGGGTGATGTGCGATCTTCTGTCTACTCCTCCAGCACTCCGTAGCAGCGATCAGGCCTTCCCCATCTCCACGGAGATTTCGCGGATGTACAGCGTGAACATTGTCCTCGACGACATGAGGATGGACGGGACCGCGATGCTGCTCAAGACGAAGGTGAATGCACACATGTGGCACCGGAGGATGGGCCACTGTAATCCGCGCGCCCTCCAGCAGCTGGCGAGGAAGGAGCATTCTGGGGTTAAATTTGACCAAAACATCGAGTCTGGCGACTGCGAGGTATGTGCTGTCGGCAACAGCAAGAAGTCTAGTCACCCACCGGCTAACCGACCTCGCGCCGGCACTCGTCTTGCGCTCTTGCACGTAGACACCTGGTCGCACTCCGTAAAATCTCTCGGTGGACACAAGGGTGCGGTGATGTTCACGTGTGACAATACCCGCATGAGGTTTGGTTTTCCCATCAAGAGCAAAGATGCAGCTGCTGAGGCGCTGGAAACTGTTGTCAAGGAGGAAGCCGACCCGGAAGGACTGTGTATCACCACGCTACACTGCGACGGAGGGGGCGAGTTCAAGGGAAGGTTCGCGGCGCTGGCAGCATCACTTGGAATCAAAATCGAGACCAACGCCCCGTACATGCCTCAAGGCAACGCCGTCGCCGAGCGTGGCTTTGGCACGGTCGCAGCCATAACGCGGCGCCTTCTTCTTGGGGCACCTCATCTACCGGAGAGTCTGTGGGCCGAAGCGTTCCAATACGCGATCTATATACTGAATCGCACGCCTACGGACGTCTTGGGCGGCAAGGCACCACTTGAGGTATGGGAGAACAAACCGCTTGGCAGCTTGCACCACATCCGCGAATTCGGTTCGGTATGCTTTAAGCACGTGGAAGCGGGGGACAGGCCCAACAAACTGGCTGCCAGGGCTGAGAAGATGTTTCTGGTCGGTGTCAACCCTAAAAGCCGGTCGTGGAGGCTATGGTCCCCTCGTGACAAGTTTAAGATCACCAACTCCGCCGAAGTTTCTATTCGCGAGAAAGCCCCGCGCGACGTGGTTCCCCCCAAGGCAGGGCATGATCCGCTGCCAGAGACTCCAATGATTTACCATCCCGGTCCGGAAGAGTCTGATGACGACGTCGACAGTGTGGTGGAGCCACAAGACGAGCAGAAGGATAACGAGCCGGAGCCCACGCCTCAGGCGCAAGAGCCGGGCCCCCGTCGCAGCACCAGGAACCCCAAGCCGACTGAACGTCTGAACCTGTTTACCTTTGCCACGGAGGAGGAGGCCTTCGAGCAAGTGGAACGCTCCCTGCTCACCGGAAGCTCGCTTGGCAACAACGGGACTGGCAACCCTGGCGAAGTGGGCTACAGGGCTCCCGACCCTTCGAGCTACGACGAAGCGATCCGTGGGCAGGATGCTCTAGACTGGCAAGAGTCCATGCGGAACGAAAACCAGTCGCTTGTCGACCTTGATGTGTACGACTGGGTCGAGCCGCCGACGAGTGCCCAGGACCAGCCGATCCCGTCAAGGTACCTTTATAAGCGGAAGTACAAGAATGGCGAGCTTGCTCGACTGAAGAGCCGCGTTGTGGTCCAAGGCTTTCACCAAGCAGACACGGGCGAGGATAAAGCGGCGCCTGTGGCGTCCATGGAATCCGTCCACCTGCTGATTGCTATCGCAGCCAAGAATGGTTTTGGCCTGAAGCAAGCCGATATCAAGACGGCATTCCTCCACGCGCGGGTTCCTGCAAATGCGAAACCGATCTACGTCATCCCTCCGAAAGGGTTCGAGTGCTCTCCGGAACAACAGGGAAAAGTGTGGCGACTCAAGGCGTGGCTCTACGGGCTGCGCCTCTCTCCGAAGGGCTGGAACGGCACCTTCCACGACTTCCTGCTGGAGATCGGGTTCGTTCAGAGTACGGCGGACCCCTGTCTCTACATCCTTAACGCGGGAGGGGTCCTCCTTCTCGTGTACGTCGACGACATTCTTTTGTCGGGAAGCGACGAAGCGCAGGTGATGCGGGTCGTCGAGCAGCTGAAGGAGCGGTTCGACACAGTGTTCCTGGGAGATGCACAGTTCCTGCTCGGTATGGCACTTGAGAGGAACGTCGACGCCGGAACGATCTTCCTGTCGCAGGAGATGTACGCGAAGGCCGTACTTGACAAGTTCGGAATGGCCGACGCGCACTCTACGAAGACGCCTGCGGAGGCTGGGCCTATCAGCACCGTGGAGGAGAAGGTTTTGTCTCCAGAGGACACGGTGTACTTCCGGTCCGCCACGGGCAGTCTCCTGTATCTCAGCAGGGGTTCGAGGCCGGATATTACCCACTCGGTGATGGTGCTTACGAAGAGCATGGCGAAACCGGGTCCCAAGGCGATGGCAAAGCTGAAGCGGGTTCTCAGGTATCTAAAAGGGACAACCACTATCGGGATCACATACACCGAAGACGCCGACGGCGGAGACAAGCTAACGGCGTACGCGGATTCTGACTTTGCCGGTGACCAAGACAAGGGCTACTCCACAACCGGTGTCGTTCTCTATCTCGCAGGTGGCCCAGTGATCTGGATAGCCAAGAATCAAACGGTGCTGGCCATCTCCACGTTCGAGGCAGAAGTCGTCGCGCTGTCCAAGGCGTGCCTCATGGTTATACATTTTCGAAATTTGCTAGAGTCGTTGAAGATGAAGCAGAAGCAAGCAACAGTATTGTACGAGGACAACGCGGGTGCCGTAGCGTTCGCAAAGGGTAGCAAAATCACGCCCCGCACGAAGCACATCGACGTGAAGTTCCACCACGTCCGGCACCTAGAGGACCAAAACGTGGTAGATGTAACTTACATCGACACCAACAGGCAGAGGGCAGACATATTGACCAAAAGTTCGGGAGCTGTGAAGTTCCTGCAGAACCGCCTTATTTTGCTTGGAGTGTGAGTACCTCCCCTTACCGAAATCAGACCATATGTCTTAAAAGGGTTGGACGGTACATGGAATTCGCTGCCCAGAAAACTCTGGCAGTTAGTGATGAGTATTCAATTTGAATTGTTCGAGAGCATGCATTCATGTTGATAGCATTTGTCGAGAGGACACTGGTATTTGTTTCGAGAGGACACTGAGAGAAAGAATTTTGTGTCTTATGTATCAGAGCTAGTCATGACGTAGTTCTTGAGAGGACATGTTGGGATTTGTATGCAAGAACTGACTCTATTCTACTGCATGGGTTTTGTGCAGTATTGTGAAGGCGTGTCTCCAAGTCTGTAACCGTCAGGTGAAGACAGCTTGGGCGCCTGTGTTTTGGATCTAATGATCACTCTGTGTTGTATCTACCCAAACTGCGCCACCACTGCCAACTACACAACAAACAGCAACTACAATTCTGTTGTCATGAAGCACACACTTTCGCGAGAATTGGTGAGCACGAAGTACAGCTGTTCCAGCTCACCACGCGAGCACGAGGCACTGCGGACGGAGGATTCGCACGAGCAAGGAACGCGAGTTGATCGTGCCAGATAATTGAGGCAAACTTTTCCCCTCGAGTAGTTTCTCCCTCCTCGCGAGCGCGCAGTGCTTTGACATGCTACATACTCAGAGAGGCTGGAGGCGGCAGTAGAATCGGGTGCTGCACCCCAAATGACATAACGATACCTCAAGCAGACAATACCACCTGCAGCAAAGGGGTGGATCAAAGTCTGGGTGATGTGCGCGAATCACGAGGTGCACGTTGTAATCTGATGAACTGATGGCGGTGGCACCACGGTCAACCAGATCAGAGGTGTAAATCCATCACCCCATACCGCGCGCGGCATGGAAAACCACAATGGTGATTCACAGGGAGGTGGAGTTTGGGACGTAGCTAACGGAGTCGCATACCAGGACTCTCTTTTATGCGGCAGCCGTCCGGAGGTGAAAGACATCACCTCGTCAAATTTTACGACACTGGGATATCTGATCAAACGCTGTGAGTACGCAAAGACCGAGGGCGTCTGCCAAGGATCCTTGAAGGATGAACGGTCTTCACCTGGAAGGGGGTTGGGGTTCAGGTGACTATTTCGCTGTGGCATCGGCATTTTTCAAACGTGTCGCGTCCTGTTCCTGATATCCGTTCACAAAAGCAGTGCGCTAATCCGGTTTTGTCAAGCTGCCGTGGTAAGGTGGTTTCTTAAGCGTCCGGAAACCGAGTAAATAGTCTAGTGTGCAATTTCCGATTTCGGACAAAAAGAATTCTTCCGTCATCGGAAATTACACATTTAATTTTCGGCCGCACATCTCTGATTTCACGTGTTCAAGCGGGCATCCATTCGGAATGATGACAATTTCTGAGCGGATTGCCTGTTCGTATTTCGCATTTGGAAATGGTCTCCATACGGACAAAACCATCGAATACGTAGCAAGTACTGGTCGCAGCGAGCTCAACAAGAGCTCCGAGCACTATTGTGCTGCCATCCCAGACGCTGATTTGTTACACACACACCGCTTGTTCAAACCCACAAAGATAACAACATTTTCTCGCTCGCTAGATTGCCCTCCTGCTAAAACTTGCGAGGATGTGACATCCGTCAAATGTTCTCGGTCCGACGGGCTGTGCCATTACTGTTGCTTGGGTTAGTTGAGAGCGATAGCTAAAAACGCCAGTGACACGGCAACAAACCTGTCCATCCAGCAACAAGCAGATGCCATTTTTCGAACAGGAGCCGAACTTTGCCAAGTTTGTTTCTCAGCCTCCCAGCGTGTCGTGGTCTCATGACAACCACAACACCGGAGCCACCACACACACAGCTACGGACGAGTTTCTTTGATTTACCTATTGATTCCTTCAGTTTCTCCAAAGCCGGTGACGGAGGCAAAAACCTGGCAGAGAGGTGTGCCGGTGGTCTTTTCGAACGGCAGTTGACCCTCTTGCCAAATTCCATTCTCAACCTACCAGCAACTCACGGTCTCTAACCACAACTCCACAAGAGGCACTGACAGTAGTTGTTAGGGTGTAGACACAAAGAATGTTTTGTATTTCGATGGGAATAGACACTTTTTGGTCAAAATTTTAAGTTCTTCTTCGACAACGGCTAAAAAAGCGAAAAGACAACGCTGGGCTGGTGGGTAGCAAAACGCAATTTTGACTCATCACTAACATACGTTTCTTTCACATGACAACAAGACGATCCAAGGCACGAGTTTGACGAAATGCTCTGGCAAATAAGCTTCTGGGATGCCGGCAAACATGCAAAAGTCGGTATCGGTCCCCACTCACCGCCGGATGATGTCAAACAAAGTCCATGATGGCCCGGAACACGCCTTCTTCGTGCAGACCCACCACATCTCGCCACCGACGCACTCAAGCCACTAGGAGCACCACGTCCCTCGAGTGTCAATGCGCCTACCGTGTGTACACCAGCTTTTCGAGGAGAGGGAGCATTTATTTCCGCTGCCAAGCCACTTCTCAGCACCAGCGTTCCGCGCTCGAACATGCCGGACCGAAGGGCAAGTCCGAGTAGTCTCCGACTTCAGCGGCACCCTGGTTCGAAACGCTCGGCATAGGACCAACCAACCAGCCGCGTCGGCGCCAGGCTTTGTCTCTCGGTGCCCGTTCAAACAGCTTTCGCACAGATTGTTGTGCTTCCACGAAACATGGTGTTCTGGCGCATTTATCGCCCACTTGAGGGCCGGCGTGTCGCCGGTAGAGTCGACAGCAGTCTCGTCGGCACCCCATCTCAACAACAGGCCCACAGTTGAGGCAACGTTGGAAGAATTCAGGTCAAAGTACCGGTCAGTCACCGCCAGGTGCAACGCTGAGCGACCGTCGTTGTCCACCGAAGCAATATCTGCACCGGTTCGTAGGAGGGCCAACGTGGCCGTTTGATGACGGTTCCAAGCGACGATGTGAAAGGCGTGCAACGTCTCATGTCTTTGACACCTGTGACGGCTCCGGCACTGACGAGGACATCGATACAGAGCACGCTCCCGCTCTCGGCAGCCTTGTGTAACGCGATCTGACTCAAAGAATCTTGCGTTTCCATATATATCCGCTCTGCTCCGAAGTAGTTAGTGCTGACAGCGCTTCGGGGTAGTGTCGGGTCGGATGCAGCGCAGTGCATCCTTCGTCGTCACGGAGGTCAAGATTCGGACCGGCAGCAAGAAACTCCCGGAGCACGGGAATTGGAAACTCGGAGCCTAGCTAGGCAGTAGTAGAAGAGCAACGTTTGCTGAGAGCCTTCTCACACATTCCGGACGTTGGGGTCGGCCCCGTGCTTCAACAAGGCGATCATGGCTGCGAACTCCTCCGAACCACAGTTGTCCTCCTTCTTACAACGGAACACGGCACCTCGAAACGCGATGACAAGAGGTGTACTCATGTGATTCTCCTGTGCGTCGATGATAGCCCCGGCCGAGACGAGAGCATCGATAGCGTCAACCTGGTTGCCCAAAGCGGCATGGTGTAGATAGAGCGGAATACCCATCCGTGTCCTTCGCGTTTGCGTCCGCTCCTTGCTGAGTCAAGACGTTCATGGCGTCCCCGCACCCGCGAGAGGCAGCTAAGGATAGAGCTTGTGATTCATCGGTGATTCTAGCGGGAGCGTTGACGTTTGCCCCAGCGTCCAACAAGAATTTCGTAGCGTCATCCCAGTTGTTCTCGGCAGCCAAGGAGAGCGCCGTGCGGCCTTCGGCGGTAATCGTGTTGATATCGGCCCCATGCTGTATGTACAAGCGCGCAAATCCCTTCGGAGCATCCCACCACGTATGCCGCATGAAGAGGTGTCTCACCATCATTATTATCCTTCACGTCGACGCGAGCCCCGCATCGAGACAACAAGGCCAGGGCAATCATCCAAGCATGCGTGATGGAGGAGTGTTTTACCGTAATGATCCACTATGACGTTGACAGAAGCCCCTGCTGCCACAACCTTGTCGATCACAGTCACGGTGTTTTCCCGGCTGACGTCGAACAGGGCCGTGCGCCCACATGAGTCTGTAGCATCGACTTTAGCTCCGTGCTGGATCAAGGTCGTCACGACGTCGGCGTGCCCTCCCAAACACGCTGAGTCAAACGCTGACTTGCATAAGGCTGCGGGACGAAGATCGACGTTCGCACCTGCGGCCAGAAGCGATTTCACGGTCGCGATGTGGCCGCTGCAGGTTGCCAGGCGAAGAGCAGAGTAGCGCTCATAGCCTTATAAACTGTGCACGTCCGCTTCATGCTTCACAAGCGACAATGCGGCTTCGGATGGACCCTTCTCGCTCGCCATGTGCAGAGGAGGTGTGGACCGTGCGTCATCATACTTGCCACGCTGGACGTTGATATTCGCTCCAGCTTCGATGAGTGTATCTATCGCTCCCACCTTATCTCCCATCGCAGCCGAGTGCAAGGCCGTGCAGCCGTTCGAGTCATGTGCATTCACGTCCACTCCGTGCCGAATCAACGCTTGCATGACTTCAACATACCCACCACTACTAGCAGCCAGACCCAACGCCGACAACGCCTCGTCCTTCCCGTACCGCAAGCTCGGGTCTCCACCGGCCGCCAACAGAGCTTGAACGGCAGATAGAGATCCACTCTCCGCTGAGAGATGAATTGACGTTCGGCCCCTGCTGTCTAGCACATCTACCTCAGCCCCGTCACGAAGAAGCAAGGACAAGACATCGCCGAGGCCACTGGCGGCAGCCAGGTGGCGAGGGGTATCGCCGTTTTTGGCCATCGCCTTCGTGGGTGCTCCCAGCCTCAACAGCTCTCGCGCGAGTGCGTCCTGGCCAGCTCTGAGTGCCAGATGGAGAGCACTCCCGCCCGCCCCGGCTCCCTGGAGTTTAGTCACGAGATCAAGGTTGCCCGCACCGGCGGCGTGTTCCAGTGGAGTTCGCAGCCACTCCACCCACTACCTGCTGTTAGTCCCGATACAGACGAGATCGAAGATGGAGCCCTCTACCCCTCGCAGGCTTGACCTACAGCTAAGGCCCTGGCTGGATTCTGAGACCCTTCGATGCTGCTGTTGATGTTGCCGTCCTTGGCTCGTTATGGGGAAGGTTTTTCTCCGAGCACATGTACAGCAGTTCCGCAGCACACCCCCGTTGGTGTCATGTGCTACTCTCCGCGGAAAGAGAGAGAGAGTGAGAGGCCGCTGCTGCTGCTGCTGCTGCTGCTGCTGCTGCTGCTGCTGCTGCTGCTACCAAATGTTGATCTCTGCTCGCGCTTCCTCCGCCGATAGCTAACAACAGCTAGCAGCAGTGTGTATGGCACACCCTTCTCCCGCCGTCTCGCCCTAGCTGTGGTCTGTGTCTCCCTCTCCCTGGTTGTCCATGTCTGGCTCTGTGTGTGGGGTGTGTGGTGTGCGAGGTTATCTGTCTTGGTTCAAAATCAAACGACGTCTCCTCTTGGTGTTGCAAGGGGCCAAAAACTTCCCTGCTTCAAGTTGGGTGCCGACGCTGCACGACCTCGACGCACCGAGCACGGATTGAAAAGGTAGCAGTTGGGGCAGCTCGGGCAAAATATTACTTGTGGTGAACACGTCTTAGATTGCAATTTGGTGCCGAGATGGTGAAATGGGCTGGAATCTGCTGGGTAATATATCGAGGTTGGTCACAGACAGACAGACGGACTTACTTGAGCTCGTTTTGCCCCTCCCTCTAACCAGATTCTTTTTAAAAAACAAAAAGCGTCTCTATCGGGCCACTTCTCTTAAAAAAAAACTATTACTTCCTCTGTATCATAAGTTAGGGTACCTAAATGCAATAGATTGTCTGGGTGCAACCGTGTTAGTGATGGTAGCATAGTCGGGTTTGTAAGAAAGATATAACAAAGAAGAAGCGATGGAAAAAAAACTAAAAAAAACGAACATCTATTTCTGTACGTACTATTGGTCAAAATGTACCCTACTTTGGCCTGTTTTGGGAATATTTTTGAGAAAATATTTTGGGATATTTTTTGAGAATTCTCGACAAAATTCTCAAATCCATTTTACTACCCTACTCTAGCGATGGAATCGCCCCCCAGTACACCACTTCGCAAAAGGGGCACCGAATTATCGGTTGGTAGGCGCTATGCCATGGCGGTAGAAATTGCGATGGGCATTCAGCCGGGGTTGAGGATTCCCAAGGGCGTGCTTGACCCGATCTGCGAACGCTACGGTGTTGGAAAGAAGTATCCGTCCAAGTTGTGGAAACGGGTCAAAACCCAGATCGACAACACCCAGGAGCTGGACCTTTCAAACGAAGCAAAGTGGGCGGCCGTCGCTTCTCACCCCTTCAAAGATTGCGGCGGCATCGAGTCCAAGTGATGATGAGGAAGAATAGTCGACTTTTTCTTTTTTTTCCCCGCCACCAACCAACCCTTCTTTTTGTCCCGCAAGTGTCTTGATTTTAGTGTGACCCCCCAAGCGTCTTGGTTTTAGTGTGTGACCCCCAAGTGTCTTGGTTTTAGTCTGGTTCACTACTATACTGATTTTAGTATAGGGGGCGCGACATGGATCGTTGAGTAGAGGGGGGGGTTGGATGAGGGCCCTACTGTTGCTTGCTTTGCCCCGTAAGTGTCTTGGTTTTAGTGTGGTCCCCCCAAGTGTCTTGTTTTCAGTGTGGGGGCCACTATTATGCTGTTTTTAGTATGGGGGACGCGTCATGGATCGTT